TCTTACTGCACTTGCACTTTTAAAAGTAATGTGGGTGGGCAGCTTATACCAGGCTGCTAAGAAGCGCATAGAGACATACACACATTGATATTTAGTGTCATTGAATATTTTGAAGTTGATTATTTTATTGTTTTGCTACAGAATTTTAGAATGCCTCTCAAGGCCCAAGCTTAACACCAAAACTGTGGCACTGAAAAATGACTAGAAGCCAAAGGGAATTTAACATATTCTTGTATTTTTCTCCATTTCTTGTGACCACGTTTTCCATCATTGGGGCCCGGTTTCACCAGCTTTCTCTGTCTCTCCTTCTGTCTTTTCCTGTTTTCTCTTACAAGCAAACCCTTTTTCAGCTCCCTCAACTTCATCCCACCATGGCACCTATTTTCCTGCAGCATGTTTGAGAGACATTTTCAGATGTTAAGGTAGCAGGCAAAAATCCAGAGACCAGACACACATGACCCAAATGTTGAATCTGATCTTGTAGTTCTAAATCTCTAAGAGTAAAAGCGATCAATTTACTATCCCAAGTAATAGCTGAACTATATGAAGCATGATTGCATTTTGAGAATGAAGCATATCTAGATATAATATAATGTATGTGTTTTATTTATTGTGTGTACTATAACATAATTATAAAGTAGGCATAATTTATTCACTTATTCTTTATTTTGTTCATACAGCCAATATTGTTGGAGTAACAATTATGTGCTAGGCCTCTGCAAAGCCTTAGAATTAATTGGGTGATTTCAGATTTAAGTTATAAAATGTACTTTAGGGTTTGCTGGTGAGATTTCACTGAAAAATGGGTAAGAACCAGAAGTCGTACCATGAAGTGGTCCTGTTGATAATAATGACCCATCAACCTCGCCCACTTCAGAGATAAGGTGGGGGGGGGGACGGACATGGAGCCCTGCAGAAAGCCAGGACTTCAATGTTACTTTCTAATACAAAGGGTCTTTCTCTTTGACATGTGCAATACTTTACAGGAAGTGTCTACTTCATCCCAATCACATTCTTAAAAGACAGAAAGTGGTAATACTTCAAAAGACAGAAAGTGGTAATCTTTTTTAATGGATAAAATTGAGCTCAGAACTATTATAGGACTTTTCTAAAGCATCGCACCAGGTAATGATGTAATGAAGCCGTTGGCCACCTACTTTCTGGTCTGCAGCTCTTCCAATTTGGACGTGTCCTCACCTTGTGGGCTATGATTCACTTTGTCCTTGTTAAACACGCACTTTGGTATATTTGCCTTTCTTTCACAGCAAAGGTCTGTGAGTCTGACCTAATGCTACCTGACTCATCCCCTGTATGACAAATACTCTGGATGAAGGAAGACAGACAGTGGCCCTCATCCTTGGCACGTGGGCCGTGGGCAACAGGGAGCCAGGAGTGTTAGTTGTGTGTCTAGGATTTACAGCCTTAGGGGACATGAACCTCTACTCACTGATGTCCTTTTGTCCCTAATATTGCCATCTTCTCTAGGGCAACGCCTTGTCCTTCTAGGATGTCATCCTGAAGGGGTCACACTTCACACTCTCCTTGACAACTCACTGGTCCAAATGCTTATGAACTTCATACCTAATGAGGTCAAGTTCAGTGTTTGACCCTGACATTTTGCCAAAGTGTTACGCAATACATTGCTTTAGAAACAAATGAAATGACCGTACTACACAGTAAGTAAATGTACTGTAAATCCTGGATCTAACCCTATATCCACCAGTTTGGTATCCCAGGTATGAGCATGTCATGAATAGGCTGACCGAGCAGCACTGCATCGTGACACCAGCATAATAAGAGGATACAGGGCTTTGCAGGTTTAACAACACATTTGCAAGTCTGAAATGCTTCACGAGTGACATCAGTGAGCAAGGTCATGGCCAAAGCAGATCCTGTGGTAAAGGAGGGGCAGAAACTCAACTAGCAGAAGTTCACAGAATAAAAGGTACTTGTAAATGTTGAATCTGCACTGTGGAGCATGACCACTTCAGCCAAATCCACAGGACCGATGGCTTTCAAACTTGATGAGATCAGAGACACCATTGACAATCAGATGAAAGCTATGTACTCTCTGGAGAAAAATGCTCAGATTTTCAGCTAATTCCAGGGTTTCACAGGTCCCTAAGGCCCAGTATGATCATTTTGCTGGTTATAAGTCATTCAGGATCAATTATTCATGTGGCATTAGAGTGCAGAGAGAATGGGAAGGCGGATTCCATTGCAGTTAGAGGTCAGCTCCTGTGAAGTGTCTGCTCAGCCTCCCCTGCCCCAATATCCCACTACGTGGGCCCTTCACAGCTGCAGCTCCATGAAAGAACAGATCCAACCAATTTCACTACATATTTAGTAATTAACAACAAACTAGGGGATACTTCCCCAAAATATGTTCAGATCCATTAGCAATGCAAATATAACATATGCACAAGGACACGTTTACTTAATAATCACGTAATTATGTGAGCTGGCTCTTTACTGATTTCTGAAAAATTAAAGCAGATGTTTATAAAGTATCGCCAAGTGTGTAATCTAAATAGTAAACTGCAAAACTCTAGTGTTCTAATGAAATAAACTGAACTGAGATGTTGCAGACTAAAAGAGTCTCCTCTTCACACTAACTATTTATTCTGTGCAAATACTGTTTTCCAGGCTGAACTGACAGCGTTGGAAACAAAAAGCCATTGTCTGGTCCACAAAGTTGCTTTATCTTCTTTACAGGAAACACAGGGTAGTTTTAAATGGATGTGGTGGATGCAAAGGCTGCATCCTATTAGCCAAGTCTACGTTTTTTATCCAGATCTGTAACTAAAAGACTTCATAAACTCCAGAGTTCAACCTACTCTTATTTGTCTTCCCCTTTTCCTCACCACAAACAACAAACGATCAAAACAAGACTAAAGTTATGGGGCATGATCGGTTAACTCGTATGTGTGGTCTCGGAAGCCTTGTGACACCACACAATTCAAAATTATGACACTTAGGTTCTCAATACAAAATTATCACTGGAAATTACTTAGAATAATCTAAACATTTCCAAGGGGTTGGTGGTGTGTGGAGACGAGGGAGGCAGGGCACCCTCACGAAACGCAGCAGCAGCACTAAGCTGCCACCTGATGGCCTCGGTGTCTGCCCTCTGCACAGGGACTTTTTCTCTAACTGTGACCAGGGGGAATAGCAGTTGACTGAACGTGTCCAACGCTCAGGGATGAGCAGTGCCTTTGGCAGTGTAAGATTTTTCTTCCTGTGCCACTTCAGTGCAGTGAGACCCACAAAAAGTCCTCTTTTCTGTCTTCTTTGTATCCCAGAAAAACATAGTAACTTAATGAGGCTGGAGAACACTGGCTAAGTGGCAAGCCTCGTGCACGTGACAGTGTGTGGGGTTCTTTAAGGCTGTTTCAATGGGGATGTGACAAAATACGAGGGACAGGAAGAGCAACCTGAAAGCAGGTAACAAGAGCAAATGCAAATATGTGCCGTTTGATCCTAAAGTCGGTGCTAAAGGCAAGGGTATGTGAGTTCTTTTGCACAAAAACAATCACCAGGGGGAAATTAATTTTTCTTTCAAAATAGCCTCCTGTGCTTTGTGTACCACTCCGCTTAGGCAATGCCATTGAGGTAATGCTCTCTGTGTGCCCCTGAGACTTGCTTTCAAGTTATTCTGATACCGCTAAGTAGGGGAGGCCACGAAGTGATTTTCTGATACAATTTGTCATGGTGTCTGTGGCTTATCGTGACGCCTTCAAAACATATTCTCTAATTGCTTCCCTCAAGAAATGCGTACACACCAAAAATCACATCAAATGCAAAGAAGTTTAAGGCAAGCTCTGCTTTGAATCGAGGCATGAAGGTTGCCCACAGCATGGGGTAAAGAGAAAGAAAGAGTTTGAACAGTAAGTCAGGCCTCTTATTGTGGAAAGCTCCCCAGGTTTCTCTGAGACGTCACAGAAAATGTGAATTTTTTGGTGAGGTGTTCATTTTCAGAACACTAACCACATCTTTATTCAAATAGAAGAATCAAAACGTTTTCCAGAGTCAAGGATAAATTTCCTTAGACTGTGCCACTGATGCTGTGAGTATAGATAAACAGAGGATTGATCAACTGCCTTATACGATGTGAAGTTCTTTGTTGATTATTTCTCACATGCAGGGAGAATAAACTGGGGTGCTATTTTTTATTTATCCTCACATTTAGCTTTTCCTTTTACCTCTAGATAGTGCCCAGATCATTATTTCCAGCCCAAATTGTTTCTCAACCTTCAACTTCCTCCTGTGTTTCTTCATTTAGATATCTCATAGGCCCTTCAGCCCCAAATGCTCTAAACTAAATATTATATATCTTCCCTAAATCTTAGTCTCCTAAGGCACCACTATCCAACAAGCTACTCATAAGAAGTCATCGACAAAGCATGCCCTCATGTAATATATCAAGTAATAGAGTAGTTCCAAATGCCGCATTTCCAATATATTCTACCTTCTGAGTACCACTGTGATCTCTACCCTTTCTTCTATTTCCATCCTGCTGTGTCAGTTTGAACCTTCAACATTTCCCATCCGGAATTCTATGATAAGCTTCTTCCTTCTCAGGTCATAGGGTCCCCTGTGCCTTTCTCCACACTGGTACCACTATGATCTTTCCAGAAGTCATCCAACCATTTAGTCTTTACTTACAATTCTCCAATACTCTTAACCATTTTAAGGATTAAGTCAACACAGGCTGTGGGCCTTCTTTCTTGATCTGGCCCTGGACTGCCTTTAGGCTCAACTGCCACCAATTTTATGGATGATTGGGCAGATAGACTTTATCCTTAGTATACTAGAGAAGTAGATTTGTTGAGTGATTAAAAAAAAAAAATCAGAATATATTATATGTAATTTAAAAAACCAAAACTTTATATGACATATTCCTCTAAATGTAAATGAAAAGCAACTTTAGTCAGGTGGAAAATAAATAAAGCAAAAAGTAACAGTCGTGAAAAATGGATTTACAAGTCCAAAATTCTTACCCAATGTCTGTTGGAAAGATAGCTTCCAACCTCTTGCTGTTTGAGATGAATCTGTCTTGAACACCAGGAGCATACTATTATTACTGCTCTTAACATTTGGTGGAAGCTTGGAACCACAGAACTTGCCAAGAAGTGGGTCACTGATGTTATAACCATCATAAATTGCCAGGTAGTCTTGGGAGCAGGAGGTGGAGAGAACCACATCAAACTCAATGAACCTGTGAAATGAACCTTATTAATACTGATGTTCTCCATTTAGATATCCATTAAATAGTACCTTTAGTTCTCTAAAAATATAAAATACAAAGGCTAAAAGCAGAACATCCAAGCTTTACTTGATTGGAAATACTAGAAACAATATACTAATCAGTTCAAAAGTTTAGCCCACATTTTTTGAGTGACTTCAATATGTCAAAAAGCACTGGAGATGTAAAAATGAGTTAAATATGGCCCTGGGCTTCTAGGAGTTTACAGTCAAGGGCATATTAAAGTCTGACTGACATTAAGTTTTGACAAGCTGAACTGATATCTATTTACCATTTCAGCAGCACTTTAGTATGTCAGTCTCATTAAAAGTATGGTTTTGACTCTGGAGCCTCAGTTTTCTCATCAATTAAATGAGATTAATAATTATACCTTATATGACTGTTTTAAGAATTAAATAACAGAATTATAAAAAGTGTTAAAGGGCTTTTTGTGTATAATAAGTGCTCAATAACTGGAAACTGCTTTCTCTTACCCTCCCCACACTCTGATTTTAAGATAGCCTTATGACTTTACACCCATTACATGAAGCTCCTCTGAAACTGTTAGAAAAGTGTAACAGCCATTTTAACAGGTAGAGTGCCTGTTTTCTTGCTTAGCCAGGCACTATTGGCTTATGTGGAGGGTGGGGGGCCCATTTCCCAGGTTTCTACAAGGACCTCGCTCTCCCTTCCTCCCTTCTATGCTCTGATGAGGATCAGTGCCCTCCACTGCCTGTGAATAGAGCTAAAATGATTTTCTTAAGAAGGTGAATTTGTCTCACATACTTGAGCAGAATCACTTTGTCGCCTCTCACAGTGATGTTGTACAAACAGTACAAATTGCTAGGGTAGTCTGAGTATGAGTAGGCAGGGCTGTGGATGAGTCCAGTGGAGAAGTTGAACACACCGCCACAGGCTGCAAGAGAAGACAGGGGATGTGCACAGAAGAGTCGGTATTCACACCATGGAAAAACGATTTTGAGATCATCTTTACTACCATTCCTTTCCCCCCTAAAAGAGATGCTTATTTTTTCTTAAAGAAACTTAAAGCTCCCTTCATTGTGTTTACAATTAATTCTGATTTTTCCACTGAGGTGGAAAGAGGAAACAGTATGGGAGAGTATGTTAAGGAGTGTCTTGGAATGAAGTAGGTCTGAGTCAAATTAAGAGCCAGAGTGGAAACAATGAGAAGAAACATTTCATGTGTTGGGTGTAACTGTCCTTTCTCTGTATTTAATCCACAGGCTCAGAGAGATTACAGAGATAACTGCAGATTTAGAAAGGGTGTGCAGAATCCAAGGCACACCCTGGCCGTATGAACCCAGGAAGGTCTGCTATCTAGGAATCTTCAATAACACAGATTCAAGTTTTCTCTATCAAGGACATACTATTAAAAAGTGAAGTATTAGAAATCATTTTTGGACCATTTGAGCTTAGTTCCCTCTGTTGGCTCAAGTGCACAGCTCCTGGGTCCTATGTATTTCTATTTAGTTGTGAGACTGGTAAGGACCATATTCACCCAGATCTGTATTACTGGTGCTCAACAGCATGAGGCGGCTGGGCTTGCTCCCCACCTTGACTCCAGCAATCAGCTGCCCTGAGCCCTTAGTTACTCCAGTCAGTCAATAAAACAGCCATAGAAACATAACAAACCTATTGTACAAAATATAAAATTACTATCATTTTTGCTTGGACTTTCATACTGGGAGAATCAGTCAGGTTGTGCCACCTAATGATGGAAAGTGCCCTCCTCTCACTGCAGTGAGAAAGGCTTATATTTATTTTATTATGTGATTCTAAAATTAGAATGGGGTTAGTGTACTTTGATGTTACCTCCATGGTTTATAAACTGTCAATGAACATATTCCACTTATACCTCTTAGAAATGAGAAACAAATGGTGGCTGCCATTTAAGGCTATTTACTTGTTGATGTATTGCATCTCAGCTGAGCCCACTCTGCAGGGAAAGCTATTCTCTAAATGCCCATAAGTATTCATGTGCTCAGACCCCTGTGGACATCTGTAGTGAATTAAATGTCAGATCTGTGTAGCCATTACTCCATTTCATCTTATACACAATTATGTGGCCTTTGAAAGCTTATCAAAGCCTAAATCACTCCCAAATTTGTACATGTCAAGATTCTAAATCTTATCAACAAAACTCTTTAAATGAGACTCTCCTGGTGGCTATGTGGAAGTTTGCACACACTGTTTTAGGAAAACGACGGATTAAAGACTAAATGAGTATAAAGCAATGATGAAACTCTCCAAAACTATTCTTTTAGTTGTACTAAAAGAATGAAATGAATCAATGTTTTTCTTTATTCAATGAGGCAACTGGGGGAATGTCCATTGCTCGGCTCTCTTCTGGTTGTGCCAACAGACGTACAAAACCACAGACCCTAATATGTTACAAATGCGGGCCAGGACTCAGGTAGCAGCTCCCGTGAATGAGCTGTGAAGGCAGCCGTTTTCATAAATAAGCATTTTTAATCTTCTCTGTGGATGCGAACAGTTATTTATTTGAGAGATAATTATTTAACTTTCTACTTACTTTGAGCAATGGGCTTGGTCAAGTAAAGATGAAACAAAACAAAGATTTTATAAGATTTCTGCGCCCCTTTCACTAAAGTTGGGATGAATGAAGTGGGAAAAAAACACTGTCAGCAAACNAGATTTCTGCGCCCCTTTCACTAAAGTTGGGATGAATGAAGTGGGAAAAACACTGTCAGCAAATGAACCAACCAAGTTTAGTGCAGGAGAGGAAATGGCTATGCAAAATAGGGAAATATGGCTTTAGGATTTTCAAATAAACACAGACTGAACTGTCTTTAAAGAATGAATAGATCCTGGTAGCTACAGAGGCCTTTGCCCAGGCTGTGACTTGTTTTCTCACTTTGACTTTGACACAGAGAAACTGCCAATTATGACATAAACACATCAATGTTTCCTTTCCCTTTAGGGCTTGAGCTTTTTGTATATTGTTGAAAAAATCCCACCAGAAGATCATAAAGATATTCTCTTAGGGTTTTTTTCTAAATTTATACAAATTGCTTTTCACATTAGCAAACTTGGGAAAATGAAATAGGCATCTGGATAGTCCAGGCCAAAAGTCACCTCAAAGTAATGTCCAAACAACTAAAGATAGCAGGAATGTTCATTTTAACTTAAATTATCAAAATAAATCTCAACCTCCTATTTTATTTTCAAAGAGGAGTTGTAGCGAAAGTTTATGAAAGAGCTTCCCCATTTTTTAAAAATGTTGAAATACTTTTGGACCATGAACCTAATTGACCATTTTTACCCTTAAGGTCTTTGAATCTTCAAGTTGGTGATTTCTGAATCACAATTAAAACTCCTTATGGAAATTACCCAAGAAGGAAAGAACATTTCACACATCATGATGACTACTTACAGGTTATCTGATAGGAAAGCTTGAATCCAAAGTCAGTGGTGTGTGAATTGGAGTAGAAGTTGAGCAGCACTGGACCGGAGATGGTAAAAGGAGACAGGGTTTCGTCGCCACACAGGGTAGCAAAAGGTGTGGATGCTATGCTGTCACCGCTGATGATGTGTAAGCCATCGCTGTCACAGCTTCCCGTGACGGCTGAGCGAGCTGTGGGTCGCATGGAACAAGCAGCATTTCAACCAGAAGCAACATCATAAACAATGGGTGCTATTCGCATTCAAACAAACGTGGAATGAAGATTCACGCCATTTACACAGAAATGGAAAGTTGCTATTTATTTGGGTTTCCTGATGAAGCAAGGTTTGCCCTAGTGACAAAACAAGCGCAGGTAGGAGAACACAGGTAGAACTTCACAACAGATAAATTCACTTTGAAATAACCCAGAATTTCCTTCCTTTATCAAATGGTTCTTTAATTCAGTGATTATAAACTGGGGACCATTTTGCTTCCTAGGGACATTCAATAGTACCTGAAGATATTTTCTGCTGTCACTCGGGGGTGTTCCGCTGGCCCTGAGGGGGGAGCCCCGGGAGGTGGCTGACTGTGCTGCAGTGCTCAGGGCAGCCCCCCGCCCCTGCCCTCCAGCCGCAACAGAAGTGGCCTGACCTTGAATGTCCACAGGACTGCTATTAAAACCCTGCTTTAACTTGAAGCTGCATACAGATAAAGAACTCCTACCACGGAGAGATAATTAGAAGTTCTTTAATGGTTTTCAAACAATGGTTATAAATGTTTACACAAACAATATTAACTTGAGCTAAGTGATTGTAAAATATATATCATTTTTTTTTCTACTTATAAGTAAATAAATTCCAACCCATCCTAAAGAGAAATAAAAAACAGAGTAAACAAAAATTATAAAGTCTTTTATTACCACAACCTATGTGGTCATTTTTATGTGTGAATTATACTGTTAAAACATTAATTCTTATCATACTGAACATGCTCTTTCATAATCTAAATTTTATTAACACAAAATAACATAACGTATGCATTTTTATGTGATTAAATATTCTTCTTAAACATCGAACTTAATGGATATAGCAAGTTCTAACATATGGATGTGGCCTACCATGTTTGATTAATCCCCTAGCTTGATAATTCTATCTTTCCCACTTTTTGTGATAAAAAATACTGTTGAAACAAACAGTCTGTACATAAATATTTCTGGAAGTTTCTCATTATTTCATTAGAATAAATTTTTAGAAACCGAGTTAGTGATGCTAAGGTAAGCTTCTTTTTCAGGTTTCTCAAAGGGCCCTTTGGAAAGGTGTTACCAACTCAGTCCCACAGCACTTTAGCTGACATTTCCCCCAAACCTACAGTTTCATCACCCCTAAAGAAACCTTGTACCCATTAAAAAGAACTCCCCATTTACCCCTCCCTATTTACTGCTCTCCCACCCATAGGCAACCAACTACTAACCTACTTTCAGTCCTTATGGATTTGTCTATTCTGGACACTTAACATAAACAGATTCATATAATATGTGACATTTTGTGACTGACTGCTTTTTAAAAAATTATATCTTTATTGATTTCAGAGAGAGAAGAAGGGAGAGGGAGAGAGAGAGAGAAACATCAATGATGAGAGTCATTGACTGGCTGCCTCCTGCACGCCCCCTGCTGGGGGTCGAGTCCACAACCCAGACTTGTGCCCTGACCGGGAATCACCCGCTGTCTCCTGAATGCTCAACTGCTGAGCCACGCCGGCCGGGAGTGGCTGACTGCTTTTACTCACCATAATGTTCTGGAAGTTCATCCTTCATCCATGTTGTACATGTGTCAATACTTCATTACTTCCAAGGCTCAATGCTACCCCATTGCATGTACAGACCACACCTTCTTTATCCACTCAGCAGCTGATTTGATTTGTTTCTACCTTTGGGCTATTATGAATAATATGGCTATGGGCATTCATGTAAAGGTTTTGTGTGGATATGTGTTTTCAATTACCTTGGTATCTAAGTAGGAGTGGAATTGCTGACTCAGATGGCAACTCTATGTTTAATATTTTGAGGCTGTACCACTTTACCACATCACTAGAAATGCATGAGGGCTCCAATTTCCCACATAATCCCCAACACTGGGGTTTTCTGTCTTTAAGATTTAATTATAGCCATCCTTGTTGGTATGAAGCGGTGGCTCACTGTGGTTTTGATTTGCATTTCCCTATGACTAATTATGCTGAGAGACGTTCATGTGTTACTTGGCCATTTGTGTATCTTCTTTGAAAAAATATCTATTTAGATCCTTTATCATTTTTAAATTTGGTTATATGTCTTTTATTGTCCAGTTTTTCTTTTACATTCTGGGTACTAGCATGATCATATATTGATATTTTTCTTGGGTAAATACCTAGCATGAAATTGCTGAGTCATAATTAGGTGTGTATTTAATTCTGTAAGAAACTTCTAATCAGTTCTTCCAAGTGGTTATATCTGTATACATTCTCATCAGGGAAGTATGAGACTTCCAGTTGCTCTGCATGCTTATCAGTACTGGTACTGTCAGCCTTTTTAATTTCAGCCATTTTGGCGTGCATAAAATGGACCTCATTATGATATTTAATTTACATTGCTCTGATGACTAATGTGAAATACTTTTCATGTTTTCATTAACAAACAACAATAAAAATACTTTTCCTTACTATAGATGTTAAATTGAGCATATATCAAACACCCGTCTTCCCCCCCACACAAATNAACAATAAAAATACTTTTCCTTACTATAGATGTTAAATTGAGCATATATCGAACACCCGTCTTCCCCCCACACACAAACTTTACCTACTTATAAATTCCTCATTGGAACTGGACAAAACTACATTTCAATATTTTATATGATTGCATGCTATGACATGGTGGACTCTGAAAACAAACTGCCTGTTTGCTGTCAGAACACTCTTATCAATTAAAGAAATGATGATATACATTTACATTATAAGTTCAAGTCCCCTGGCCATCGACCTTGCTTCAAGGGGGGCATGTGATCTAAGCCAATTCAATCACAGTAAATTTCAACACCCTTGTTTGGAATCTAGAATAGACAGTAGTGTGCTGGTAAATATAACCACCAGTTCTTTGAAGGGAAAAAAATAGCCCTGATTTGTACCATTTGCAAATTTCCATGTTATGAATATTCCCCCTGTAACCAATTTCGAGCTACCAACACGAGATCATTAAATGCAGGATTTGGGCTAGAGGAGCATGACTGACGGCTGCAAGGTGGAATAAGCCAACTCCAGCATGCTGCTGGGTGGCTGCGCTCTCTTCCCAGATGCGCTTGAGGAGCACACAGCCTCACTGTGAAGGCAGCTACCCGACAGCCAGGAGAGGATCTGTCTTAGCGTGAGGCTCACACTGAGAAGCCCAGAGTGAGAATATTAAAAGTAGAATATTTGATGACATAATTAAAATGCTAGATTAAGCAGATTTGAGGCACACCTAACTTTGAGCTCCTCCAGAAGTAAAGCCAATAAATTGATCTTTTATGCGTAAACCAGGTTGAACTAAGTTTCCTGCTAACTATACCATAGAAACCCCTAATCAATATAGTATGGATTATCATAATCATAATCATTGTTGTTATTATTTTTTTCTAGAACCCCACCAACCTGAGGACTGTTGATAGATTGATTACTCTAATATCAATATCAGACCCAATCTAGGCCAATCAGATGTGTTCAAACTGTAATTTAGTAAGAGGGAGTCAATAGTAAAAGCCAAAGATGTTCAACTTGGAAAACATCAGCGGCCGCCTCTTGACACGTGAGGGAAGCCAGGCTGCAGTTAGGGAAACGGAGTTGCCATGCAGAAAGCAGCAGCGAGAGAGGGGGATAGAGAGGGCGCTCTGCAGCACTGTCGTCCTTGCTTCCACATGCTCTGGAAGCCCATGCCTGTCCTTCTTATTTTTAAACCTTCCTCTGAGGAGATTAGATAACCCAGTGTCCTTCCCATAATCTCTAATTTATATCTAAACTGACTTGAAGATAAGCTACCACTTTAAGCTGAAAGACTCTTGGTGAATGCATTTTTTACATATCTGTACATTAAAAAGTTCTCTCTCCTGTTTAGATGTGAGTATTATCTTAGCTAAAATTGATATTTTTATGAGAAAATAACTATGCAATTTAAATCTTAAGTTATTTTTAAGAATGTATTTGGCTCCTCAGCTAAGTTTCTATCTAGCTTGAAGAAATCTTGAGGTATCAATTCAAAAAATATTTATTAAATTAACCTCAAAGAATTCTTTCATTTTGAAAATCCTGGAACAGAAACGCTTCTAACTGGGCATAAATCTGTAAGTTAAAAATGCGAAATACTTAATTTCAATGACCTTATCATGTAATTAGAAGCAATGTGATGTTAGAAAAACAGGACAAAAAAAGTAGGTTAAACTCAGATTTATGATTTAAATACTACCAGATTATATACCTTAATTATAACCTCAGAATTTGTCTTGAAGATACCAATAGTTCCACTGGAATTTTAAAAATTTAGAATAGGTGAGTTTGAGGGGAAAAAAAGTAATGCATTATTTATAAAAATATCTTTAGCCTGCAAAAATATGTAAAGTTATAAAACCAAAACCACAGAATGGAAAGAAATATTGCTGATGCTGCATTAGAGTCTTGGCCTCACATTGATTAAATAACCTGTGATGCAGAGGTCCTCTAAGTATGAGTTTTTAAGTTGTTGTCTTACTGATATAGACTATCACAGTGATGGCTGTCTTACAAAATTATGAAAAGACTGTGAAAAATAAGGTAAAATGTGTCACATGCTTGATGATTCTTTCAAATAATTAATTAAAAGAACTAGTTCAATTATAGAAAGGTCACCATGAAATAGAGGTTGTATAGCTCTGTTGAGATATAATCAAAACTCATTAACTGTTTAAAAGGTCTATATTCAACAATAAGGAAGTTGGGCAGGGGAGAGGCAGAGGAAGTTGAAGGGGATTTTAATATTTTGTAGATAGCAACAGAATATTAAATAACTAAACAAACCATTAAAGATAATCTGCTCATTCTTAAAGCCTGACTCAATGAGGTGTGAAATTTATGCTATTTGACAAGTTGCTTCATGAATTAAAACATTCTTGTATCCTTTTTAGTAGTCATTTCTTTAAGGTAGGGTGTCCTTC